GGTAAATATATTTGAGATCTGATCCAAGTGGGTCTTTTGAATACTGCTTGAGGAAATACAGAAAGCCAGAAAAAAAAAAAAGAAATCTCAAAAGTTGTCTATTTAAAAGTATAACTAACAACAGAAAAAGTGAGATGCCAACTTCAGTCTAGTAATATAAACACACTGTTTTATGTATATTTACTAGTAAAGTGGATTTATAGGTTGCTATGGAAACAGGAGCAGCGTATGAAATACTGCCAATGTAGTTAACTAGAGCCTATGGGAAAATTAGCTATGTTTTTACCCTTCCCCCAAAATGGCAACTTAGAGAAAGCTGAAACATACAAGTTAAGTTAGAAACCACTCTACTATATGTCAGTGATTTCTAATTTCTATTAAGTGGGCCAGACAGGCCCATAGGAAGAGGCAATGTTAAAAGGTGTGGCCTCACTGACACAAGTGTGTCACTGGGGATTAGGCTTTGATGCTTCCTAAGCTGCTGATCCAGATGTGGAACTCACAGCTCCTACTCCAATACCATGTCTGACTGTATTCTGCAATGCTTCCCACCATGAAGAGAATAGACTAAACCTCTGAAACTGTAAGCCAGCCTCATTTAAATATTTTGCTTTAAAAGAGTTGCTGCGGTCATGGTGTCTTTTCCCAGCAATAAAACCCTAAGACAGAAACAAAGGGAAGTGTCTATATATTTTTCAGGCTGCCTTTTCACTTTCATACAAGGTATGATGTTTCTTTGTCTCTCTAATTTCCTGGTAGAAACAGGACTTTCTTCTCTCTCAGGCTGACCTATATAGAGTGCAGAAAAAAATCTGAAATGTGAAGAGTATCACTCTTATAATACTATCTCTGAAATATCTTCCTAAGGGAAAGCACTTTCACAGATATGTAATAGAACACAATTGACGACAGTGAAAAACTGAAAATCACCCAAACGTTCAAGAGCTGCTACTATCTGGTAGGAATCACAGGATTTCTATTCAATCAACGATAGACATATTTGTATTGACAGTAAATTTTGCCTTTGGAAAAATATTTGAAGGATGAAATATACTTAAATTTTTGTGCGTATATTGCTGAGAATACAGAGTAATAAAGAGCTAATATATATAGACAGAGATAAAGCAAAAAAAAGCAAAGTATATACAAAGTTGTTTACACATTACACATACAACCGTCCAAGTTTGAGGACTGCAAACACCTCTAAGGGAAAACTGCAGAGTAAAGAATAAGACATTTCTAAGCTTTTAAAGCAAAACCTGTACAAACTCATTTAAAAGGAAGCTCATTATTCTTCTATCAAAACAGAAATTGCTAAATTAAAGCTTTAAAGACAGGAACAGCTAGACAAGTGTATAAATCAAACACTTGAGAGGCATAGGCAGGAGGCTTTCCACACGTTTGAGCCAAACCTGCTCCTTCTACTGAGTTCCAGGCCATCCTGGATTTCATGTAAGACCATGTCTCAAATAAATAAAGAAATAAAATTCAAAAAGCTTTTGGCCTCATTATATAAAATAGAACTTGTCAAGAATTCTCACTTTCTTCTTAACAAAATGTTCCCACTCTGCCAACTTCTCAATTATTTAAAAGAAGGATTTAATTTCCTTGCAATATTATGATTTAGAGTATTTTTGTAAAAAAAAAATCATTGCAGAGATCATGAAAAAGTTTACAAACCTCTGCTTCTCAAGTGATTCTACAGTCAATAAATAATCACATGAACATACCAATAAAGAGTAACAATTAGTCTTCACATGGCCACATTAATGGAAACTAACAGTTTTATAATAAATGCTTCTTCCCTATCTCTTAAAAATGTTGAAAATCACTAGATAAACCACTTTTTAAAAAAAATTATGAATTCTGTTTTCTTACATCTGCCTGGAACCATTCTATTCTGACCACAGTGCCATTTATTGAGAACAATTTCTCTGCATTAAATAAAATAGACAACTCGCCGAGCAGTGGTGGCGCATGCCTTTAATCCCAGCACTTGGGAGGCAGAGGCAGGCGAATCTCTGTGAGTTCAAGGCCAGCCTGGGCTACCAACTGAGTTCCAGGAAAGATGCAAAGCAACACAGAGAAACCCTGTCTCGAAAAACAAAACAAAACAACAACAACAAAAAAAAATAGACAACTCTACTTAGATAACTGTCTCATGTTATAAAAAATGCCTATGTAAACAGGGAAGGGGGGGCTTTGGTTGACGTTATCAATTGCTCATCTTTCAGCACCTCTTGGATGCCTATACAAAAACAAAATTCAGATTTATATATCACAGCCCCTGACCTCAAGGGAACTTGGCCTTGGAGGAACCTGAAAGAGGATCAGCCTTATCAATGATTAAGTCCCAGCAGTTTTCAGGAGTAACAGCAGGAACTCAACTAGTAGGAGGAGAACTAATGGTAATTAAAGCAAGATCTCTCCTTCAATCTTGTTTCTACCTGCATGAAAATATTCTGCAAAGTTGAGACAATAACGGTGCACTGTGATCCTAAGGAAGATTTTTTTTTTTACTATAAACAAGGAAAGAAGGTTTAAATCAAAAGAGACATAAATAAACCCCCAAACAAAAGGATAGACATTCATAAGTAAATGTATATCTGCTTAAAAGTCAATAAGTTTCAAAGATGATTAACCCTGACTATCAACATAATGGGACTTAGAATCAGGAGGGAAACATCTTTGGGCATATTTGTGAGGGGTTATCTGCATTAGGTTAATCGAGGTATGAAGACCCACCCTAAGTGTGGGTAGTACCATTTATGTGTAGGAATATCTACTTGACTAGAAAAATAAAGTGACTAAGGACAAAAATTCATTTCTTTCTGATTCCTGACTACCGATGAAATGTGACTGGTTGCCTGCTCTACAGTCCTCCCCAAGATAAACCATATACCTTGGAACTGTCAATCAAAATAAACCTTTCCTTCCTTAAGTTATTTCTGTCCATATTGTCTTGTAACAATTAGACAAGTAACTAATACACTTATTTTACTTAGGTGTCTGCTTAATGGTAGAGAAGAAACCCACCAACAGAGGAAAGATAAACTGATGTGTGGTAGCATAATCTCAGAAAATATTCATAGAAGTTTCCTTCTACCTTCTGTTTTAATGTAAATTGTAACATAATAAAAATAAAATAGAAGAGAACTGACTGGATTAACATTTGCTGAGAATTCGGTAGTCCTATATTAAAAATTAAACTATATCAAATTATATAAATTCACATGCTTTACATTTTCATGAACAAAAAATGTAATTTTGTCTGTGTGCCATGTTTGGAAGAGGCCATTCTTACAGGATATCTCAACAAAGCACAGTGGGGTGTTATTAAATACAGCTTTCAAACCTTGAATTTTTTTCTCAATAGATTTGACTTATTTCTTATTCCATGACTTTAAGTATTTGTTTTGCATTGAGACTGAATTACAGACACTAGTGGTTAATTGCATCAACTTTCCAAATTCATCAAGCCCCTGCCAATACTAAATCTTATGAAATGCTTGTCCATTTCTCCAGTTTGTACCTGAAATTTTGTAAGAGTAAAGAGATCATCTCTTCTGACCTATCATCTAAATTCTTAAGTTTTGAAGGGACAACCGTAAAAAGCTATCAAAATAGCCATGCCTATGGTATTTTGAAAGAATTAAACCATAATTACAGATGTATGTTTTAATTCTCCTATCTGTGTTCTGCTGAAACCCAGACATATGGGATAAGTTTTATCAGAGTGTGAAACATGAGCATGGAATGTAGAAAAGTCCTGGGTATAAAAATGTAAGAAATAGCTCACTTCCATCAGATTTCTGAAACACAGGATTGAAAAAAAAAATTAAGAGGAAGTAGATACAAATGCTCCACTGTGCTCTGACTTATCTCAGTGAGTGAAATAAATTGAGAAGAAGACTAATGGCAAGACAGTCACATTGTCTGTGCCGTCTGCACTGGGTATGACTATCACAGAGTAGCAGGGAGGAGTGAAGTTTCCTGTGGGTAGGCCATGAAAGGACATGATTAAGCTCCTCAGGACCTGAGATGCTTGAAATCACATAGCAATTACTGGAAGCCACAGGGTAAGTGTTTCTGAAGGTTCCTACCAGTGTTTCACACATGATCCAGTCAACATCTGAAGAAAGCAGGTACCCTCCCCACGCTAGCTGGACATCATCTAATCTTGGGAGGAAGGAATAAAGCAAATGGCAGAAGAGGGAGAGATGCACCTATCATAACCTTTCTTCATGCTGGCCAAAGATAGACCATGCATCCTGCCTTCAGACTGGTTTATACCATCCCCTATCTGGTTCTAAGGTTTTCAAAATAGATGAAACTATTATGTGGGTTCTACTGTGTTTGTAGTTTGAGAGTGTTGGGTTGGGAACTTTAGGCCTCCTTAACTTTCCCCCCTGACCCCTTTCACGTCTCATTCCCTCTACCCTCTTCCCTTGAAGCCTCTTTTCACCAGCACCATGGCCCCTTACCAGTTTATTGACTTCTATAAGTATGCCAACATCAGCATATTTATACAAAGTCTCAAAAAAGAGTGGAAACACATGACATTTCTAGTTCTGAATCTGTGTTACCTCATACAGTTTAGCTGATAATGTCATAATTTTAACTTTTCTTTACAACTGACTAATATATGTCTGGGTAATGTACCACATTTTCAATGTTGATTCAGCAGTTTAGGGACATTATGCTGCACCCATTTTCTGACTACTGTGAATAAAGCATCCATGAATATGGATGAATAAGTATTTATGTATTAGGTATTGTATTCTGTATCAAGTCCTTTGGGACTCTGCCACGGAGGTGTATAGCTTTTCATATGGTAAATCCATTTCTTTTTAGTTTGTTTGTTTTATTTTTTGAAGAATAACCTCATTGATTTTCACAGTTGCTTTTCCAACTTGTGCTCACGCTAACAGTGAATAAGTGAGCCCTTGTGCTCACACTAATAGTGAATAAGTGAGCCCCCTTTACCAACATCACATCAGTATTGATTGTGATTTGGATTTTTGATCTTAGTAATGCTGACTAAAATCAAATGATATCTCAGAATAGCTTTTTTTGTTTTGTGTTTGTTTTGTTTTGGTTTGTTTGTTTGTTTGTTTGTTTGTTTTTCAAGACAGGGTTTCTCTGTATAGACCTGGCTGTACTGGAACTCACAGAGATCTGCCTGTGTTCACCACCACCACTTGGCTCAGAGTAGTTTAATTTGAGTTTCCATGATAGATACAAATATTGACTATTAAAATCATTCTTTAGCCTTTTATATTTCTTCTTTTGAGAAGTATCTGTTTATCTCCGAGACCCATTTTTTAATTAGGTTATTTGATTTCTTGGTGTTTAGTTTTTGAGGTTTTTGTTTTGTTTTATATGATCTAGATACTAACCCTTGTCAAATGTATAATAGCTCTGATGACTTTGTCCATTGTGTAGGCTGCCTCTTCACTTGAAATGATGGTATCTTTATTGTACAGAATCTTCTTAGTATCATGAGGCCCCATTTGTCAACTGTTGTTTTTAGTGCCTGAGTTACTGGGTTTTGTTAAAGTCCCATCTTGTGCCTCTGAGTTCAGATATATTACCTGATTTCTACCTTGACAGATTGAGGATATTTGTCATGTTTTGAGATCCTTGAAACATTTACAATTGGGTTATACATAGATTGAAAAAAAAAAGACCAGGTTGTATTCTTCCATGTGTAGGTACCTCTCTAGTTTGCTCAGCACCATTTGTTGAAAATAATGTCTTTTCTCCAGGGCACACCTTTAGTCACTTTGTGAACAATCACGTGGCTATAGGAGCATAGGCTTTTATATGACATCTGCAATTCTATTTGACAATGTGGTATCTCTTTCCATGCTAGTACCAATGCTGTTTTTGTTACTGTAGTATATATTGAAATCTCGGGTGATGATGCCCCCAGCAGTGCCATCATTTTTCATGTGTTATACTGACATGCGTGCTTTCATAACTAACTTGACCTTTCTTTCCTGTAGGTTTTCATACCCTTTCTTTATTCATGTTTTTAATTCGGGTTATCTCTCTTTTTGTTAATTTGTCTGAAGGTTTTTATTCTTCTTAATCTTTTTAATGAACCAACTCTTCATTTCATTGTATTATTTTTTCATTCTTTGTAATATTTGTTGTTCTTAGTTTTTTTTTTCCTTTTTAATCCAACACTGAATTTTATTATGTTTTGGGAGTTGTGTTCATTCTTGTTTTTCCAAATTTTTTAAGTGAATGAGTCAGTTATTAATTTAAGAATCACCTTTTTTTTTTAAAATGTAGGCACTTTATTCTTAGAACTCTTAGAACTGTCTACATGTGTCCCATAGAGTTTGGAATTTTTTTCTCTTTATATATAGGCATTTTGTTTATAAAATTGTCTTCATTGTGTTCCATAGAGTTTGGTGTGTGTGTGTGTGTGTGTGTGTGTGTGTGTGTGTGTGTTTTCTATAGGCATTTATTCTTAGAACTATCTTCATTGTGTCCCATAGAATTTTGTGTTTCATGTTTTCATTTTCATTCAAATCAAGAAATTTTTAAATTTTCTTAGAACTACCTTCATTGTGTTCCATAGAATTTGGTGTTTTGTGTTTTCATTTTCATCAAGAAATGTTTAAATTTCCTTCTCAACTTAATTCCTTTGATCCTATTACTATTGTGCAAGATAATTAGTCTCCATTATTTTGTGCACTCTCTATTGTTTCGAGAGCTGGTGACACCTAGTTTTATTCCATTATTGTCAGAAGGCAGGATATTATTTCAAGTTTCTTTTATTTTCTGAGTCTTGCTTTGTATACTAATATGAGGCTAATTGTCTAGAAAGTTCCATAGACTGCTAAGATTGTGTTTTCCTTCATATTTTGGTGAAATATACTATAGATACCCATTAGGCCTGTTTAATTTATGACATTTAACACCAATGTTTCTCTAATTTTTGTACAAAAGAACTATTTATTGATGGCACTGAGGTATTGTAATCACATATTAATCCTTGATATTAGATGAAATTGTAATTCATTTGTGAAGGTTTGTGCATCTATGTTTGGTGAATATATGCTTTAGAATTGTAATGTTCTTTTGATAGATGGCTCCTTTAATTAGTATAAAGTAACCTAGCATATCTCTTTCTGGCTTGTTTTTGTTGGTAGCTTGCTTATCAAATACTAGAATAAATATGGCTATTTGTTTTTAGTACCATTTGTTTGTGCAATTTTTTCACCTTCCTCCCCTAAGGTGTAAGATATGGTTCTCACAAAGTGAAAAGAGCCGGGCGGTGGTGGCTCACGCCTTTAATCCCAGCACTCGGGAGGCAGAGCCAGGCAGATCTCTGTGAGTTCGAGGCCAGCCTGGACTACCAAGTGAGTTCCAGAAAAGGCACAAAGCTACACAGAGAAACCCTGTCTCAAGAAAACCAAAAAAAAAAAAAAAAACAAGTGAAAAGATAGAATATGCTTCCTAATCCAACTGCTGGTCAATGTGCATTTGTTAGGGAATTGAGATCACAAGCACTGAGTTATTGAATGATGTGTATTGATTTCTGGGATTTTGTGGTTTTGTAGTATTTTCTTGAACTCCTTTTGATGAACTGTTCTAGAATCTTTGTTTATTCATTTCCAAGGACCTCTTAGATGTTTTTTCCTTCTCTTAAAACTGACATACTCCTCCTAGTAGCTTAGAAAAGTTGACTTGGGATCATAAATTCCTCTAGTCTGTTTTTGTTATGGAAGGCTTTTATTTCTCTTCTAATTTTACTAGGTACTTTTGCTGAGTATAATAGTCTGCCATGATAGTTGTGGTCTTTCAGAACCTGAAACATATATTTCCAAGCCTCCTGGTTTTAAAAGTTTCTGTTGACTATCAGGTGTGCACTGATGTGTATGCTTTTACAAATAATTTGATCTTCCTCTCTTGAAGCTTTTAACATCATTTCTTAATTCAGTATTGTTTTAACTATAAAATGTCATGCGGAGGTTTTTTTCTGATATTGTATATTTGGAGTTCTATAAGCCTCTTGTCTTTAAGTGAATATCTCTTCCTACATGATTGATGAATTTTATTTTATAATTTTTATTGAAAATGCTCTCTGTATCTTTATTATATTATTCTTCTTTTATGCCCATAATTCAAAGATTATGTCTTTTCCTGGTGTCCCACAGCTCTTGCATGTTCTGTTCATACATTTTTATAAATGTGTTTCTGAATTTTACTGAATGATAAATTTCTGACTTTTTATTTAGCCATGATATTCTTTTCCCAAATATTCAATATCACACATTTCATGGATAATTTTATTTAGATTAATCAGTTTTTCATTGCCAGATTCATTTCAATTTGAAATTTCATTACCAATTCTTGCTCTTTGTTGAATTCTATTTTCAGATCTTAGATTGGCTTCCTTGCTTCACTTACCTCTTTGATTTTGCTTTCTTAGAGTATACTCGTGTCTATTTGCATTTATTGAATATATTTACAATCTTTCTTTCAAATCCTTTGGTAATTCTCCCAGGTCATTTTCATTTGGCGCCGTTGTCAGTCATTTGTGAAAGAGTCATGCTCTTTCTGTTTCTACAGTGTTTTTGTACACATGGTGCCGGTATGAATTTTCCTTTCTTTCTTTTGTATGTTTTACTTTTTAAATTTAAAGCACTTTATTCTTTATTCTTTCAGTGGTAGCATTTGCAACGTTCAGTAGATTACTAAGTCATAGCTGAGGTATGATTTCCCTTGTTGAGAAGAGCGCTTAGATCCAGAGCCTCTATCTTAAGTGATCAAGGTTTCATTTTCCTCTAGCTCAATCTCAAGTCTTCCTTTGAGAGTCAGATATTGTCCTGTGTTAGTTTGGACTTCCTGCTTGTGTCTGTAGATTGTCCAGCAAGTTGTGTTACCCTTCACATTTCTGTAGACCTTACCCAGAGATAGATATGGTCCCTAACCTGGGTCCACAGCTTCTGCCTGGGCAGCAACAAGTAAAGAACATCCTTTGTACTTGTAGGCCTAATCCACATTCAAGTCTGCACCTACATCTCTGTCTTCAGCTTCTGCTAATGCCTGAAGATGGAAAACTTCCTGTGCAGCTTCTGACCTAACTTGGAATTTGATTGTGTCCTCCCCTTTGGGTGAAGCCGTTGAGAGATGAGGACTGTCTGAATACCCATGGACTTAACAAGTATCAAATCCAGTCCATGCTCTGGGTCCAAAGATTCCACTGAAGCCACTGAGGCATGCAGAACCTCCTGTACACCTGTGGGCCTAAACCAGAGTCAAACCTGTTTCCCACCTTGGGATCCCTGCTTCAGCCATTCTTGGCTATGGAACACTAGTACCAAGGGGACCTACCCTTCATGGGCAGTTTTAAGGACAGCCCTTTCAAATATGGATTGCAAAAGAAAAATTCCAAATAAAAATGTACAGGGAATATGTATATATTAACAACTGGAAAATAATAGGCAGGCAAGCATTCAATATAAATTGTACATGTTAACAAATCAATTAAAGTAAAAGTAATACAAATTACTTTTACCTTCTGTTTGATCTTCAAAGAATAAAAAGCAGGGTATATTTCTTACAACAATTCTAGTAGAAAACCAGGTTTCAACTTGTAAAATTGTGTAACTTTGGTGAAAGTCAACTTTATACTATGTAATAATGCTTAAAATATGAATAAATTTGTCTCAGCTTTTTCATGCTAATGACCATATACTAAGGTGAAAACATACAAGTTATTTGTGTATGAATATGCACGTAAATATGTATGAATGTATAATAATTATCATTACAATGCTGCCATGATATGAAATAACATATAATATATATTACACATATGTATATGATCAATATTCTACAACTTTAAAATAGAATCATTTAGTATGATAAATTACCAAGATTATATTTTAATGAAAAGGGGCCATCAGAAATGATTAGTATAAGATTATTATAACTATGCATATTTATAAAAAGGAAACTCAAATCATTTTCATAGTGTTATGTTGACTTG